CACTTGTAACTGATCGATTTAACCTGCTGTTCGACACAGGATGTAGTATCTTTTAAGTTGGGTAGGCTGCTGACGCAGTAATTCTGATCTGTATCCTTTCTCCCTCTGCTGCAACTTCACCTTTGAAACCCAGTTATGAAGAGTTTGATTTCTATTCTGTGTCCCAATATACCTCTCCCCTCTCATACCTGCAGTGTTTTAAAATAAATTTCTCAGCTCGTCTACTTCCTCCTGGATGCTGCCTGACCAACTTTAAATAAGTTTGAAGCTTGTCTTTAGAGCACATCTTTTCTGCATTCCACTGTAACATTCTTACTTAACGTCTGTTGTAGCTGATCGAGCGGAAACTACTGAAGTATGAATGTTGACAACTTTACTTATGCAACCATTTCCAGTACTTCAGTTAAAAGAAAAGAAACACAACCTTTGTATATGTTATCTGATGTACCTGTATAATGATAATTTTTAAGTAATGAGGTAATTAACGCATATAAAGACGTAAAGTAAATTATTACTAGAGGATGACCATTTTACCTGCTGTCAAAAAGAACCGGGGTAAACACCCTATAAATTATTCCGTTTCGATCAAATGAAAACATGTTTATATTCGAAATTTCGTATTTTGAGAACCTTGGCCAGCTGGATTTCTAAATAAACACCACATGTGATGCACAATACTTTTAGAATTTCTGCAAGCTACACTTTTCACCCAATGCGATTGCCAACGTCAATTCATATGTACAATATTTTAGATTTGGCTTCCCAATACGAAACAATTGTAATTCTTTGATGAAATGCATTTTGGTCTGATCTCTGGTCTACTTTTGAAATTTCACTGATATTCTTGAAAATTTGTAGATTCTATTTTTATATCCTGGCAGAAACTTTTGAAATTAAAGAAATGAACGTTTCTACCACTCACTGATGAAGTCATGACTGCAACCACTGAGATATTTAATCAGTGACTTATGCTGTGTAGGACCTAACTACATGCTTATATTAATCACCAGCAAGTAAATACGATTATATTTCCGAATACCTAATTGTTCACAAGATCTCTTGAATCATTTCGTTCATATCTGTGAATTTCTGTCGCAGATTAAATAACAGACTACATCTGGGGAACTTTTAAATGTTTAGTAATTAAATTGCTGTGAGGAACTTTTGAATTTATGTATTATATCTGACAGAGGTTAACTTCATATTAAGGAAGGCATATTGTCCTAGGAGAAACTTTCTTCAGATTATAATAAACTATGCTATTTTCCTTTCCCTTTTAAACATGGGATCAATTTACTAGTCAAGATGCCTTTTATGTACTGGTTGGTGATATTGAAAATTTTTTATATACTCTTCTCCACGTCCCAGTAATTCTCATGTGACGACTACTCATCAACAATATCTGTCATGCAAAGTATTTTTAGTTATCTTTGAAAGACCTATCCCTTTAGATTTTGTTTATCTCACTTAGTGTAACGTTTATCTCACTTTTTACAGCATGTTTCACCTAGCATTCTGAATGGTATTTGTTTTGTTCATTTCCTTGCAAATTTTATGCGAGGCTATTTATATAGATCGATCTAAGCTATACACTAGACTTGTCATACTTTAATTTTCATGAATTCATCTGTTTTCCTGGTGATGAATTCCAAAAGCCGAACATCTAATCTATCAAATGACCCTACGATTGTTGATTGGTGAGTTTTGCTTTTGAAGTCGATTTTTGACCTACGATTACCACCTTATGACTCTAACGGGAAGGAGAATGTGAATAACAAAAGCTGCAACAATTCCTAGTTATTTACACATCTCACTCTCTCAGGCATCGATTATACTTATATCGCAAGTGAACTAGCCATAGGAGTCTCTATTGAAGTCTAGGAGCCTTAATGATCAAACATCTGAGGCAGTACTGTACGACAGGGTGATAAATTTTGGAAAAGCTTATGACTGCAATAAGGTTTGGTGAGTGGATACCATTACAGATGCTACGATATACGAGGGAAGTAAACTAGACGGAACTTTTTTAGGGTGGATTTGGTCACAGATACTTCTTTACAAAATATCTCAAATGAATGAAGATGTAATCAAACAAAATATTGTGGAGAACCTATGAAATGATATCATATTATGATATTTATCTTTTGATCGATCGATGCGAAATAAATGTTTGTCCTATTGCTTTCTCAAGCTTAAATTACATTTTGTTCATTGCGATATAAGCTGAAAGTTACACAGCTCAAGTGTAATACAATACAGTAAATTTCTCGAGTAATCCTTTGTTTTAATCCAATCTTTATTTCACTTACTTCTTTTAATTTCGTTTCTACTTATTGACTAACCTTGTTTTAATTCATTACTCAATTTTGACAACAATAAGTATTAGATAAACGTATCACTGAAAAATTGTTCAACCCTTTTACTCTTGTTTTATTGGTGCCAGTTTAGAACTACTTTAATTGTTGATGTACTATTGGCTATCTGATGGCAACTGACATAATTGTTACGGCCATAACATTGGTCAGTTAAATTCTTAATGTTAAATGAAGCAGGAAGCAACAAACCTAGAGAATACAATGGTTTTAGTGTATTTCACTGTATTCTTTTCAACCACTTATTAATTAATATAAAAAAAATTTTAGAACAGATATCAACGTACTTGAAACGTGGACAACAGGTGGTCATGTAGGAGTAGTAAAAGAATTTTTGAAAAACAATCACAAAACAAGATAGTCGGGTAACCTTTTCAGTAGAATTTTATTACCAATTGAAATAACAGTTCCAGAATAATTTTAGTAACAGATTAAGTTTTATTTTTAGAAAGCCAATAATCAGAGAAAAAGAATAAAACTGAGCCCAATTTAGTATATTGCAACCACGATTAATGAAACAAATGAAAGTGTAACAAAGCCACTTATATTGTTACCAAAACAGTTGAAGGTTATCTGTGGTGAACACTGCTTATAAGAATATATATGTGTCAGGGTATGTGTCATTATACCTGAAAACTAAAGACTTGATAACGATCGATTGGTCAAGGTTTGGAAGGGGGGAAGACACAGCATCGAGGAGAAATATAAAGGTAAAGAATGCTCATTACACTCTAGATTGCCGAATCCCGGAAATGTTTATTAAATATTTTTAATATTTTTATCGATACCCATTTTAATTCTCACGCAAGTAAAATCTGCTGCTCCACTGAACTTCTCATCGTAACCGCCGATTTCTTTCGTGCAATGTCCAAGTTTAAACCTTCCGACTTCAATGGCCTTTGTACTGTAAAAGGTTTTTACTGTCTTTATCATGTCATATGTTCAGTAGGTGTTCTATGGAAACTTTCAACCGTCTCAAGCTCAGACTAGTTGGAATATACTCAGCAAAGGTAGTAGATGTGCATCTCTCCATCTTTATTGTGTATGCGCTTATACACGTACAATTAAGCTGTAAATGTAGCTTTAGGTGGTATACGGAGAGTATTTGGGTACTTTGGTACTCATTGTTACATAGTTAGTTTTATAAAAATTGGTATTTATTTAGCCTCTGAAAATGCTTCAATAAATGCAGTTTTTAACTTTGATTGACAGCGTTTGCTATTTGGTCACCCGCTATATATATATATATATATATATATATATATATATATATATATATATATATCTTTAGATCTATCCTTCTTACATGTAGCGTAGAATTCACCTCTATACTTTCTCAAAAGTATCTGAGGCTAGGATAATAAGAATCTTCAAATGCGTATCATTTGTACACTGGTATTTAAGCGCCATATTTTTTACCAGTAATTTCCTAGGAGCTTTTTAAATTAAAATATTCCTGATAAAAGGATTATCTACCAGAATAAAGTTTGCCAATAGAAAGAAATGATTCATTATGGAGGTTTGTGTGGATTGATTGATTCTAAGAGGGTATTTTACAACAGACTGACACCGGTTGGACAATCACTGAAAACCTGAGAGCACTGGACAACTGTTTTATCCCAGCATGGAACTCTTCAACAATGCTCACTCACTACTCGACCAGGGATGGGATTCAGAACGTTGAGAAACCTAACCTCATAAGTGACACTCTTCTAGATACATTCCATGAAGTTCTAATGAGAAGGCGTGACCTAAGATACAAACAAAGATGGAATGAAGGACATACACTCAACGACAGATGGAGATCACGCTATATCTAGAATTGATAGAAGTGAGAAAATGTAGATGATTGAAGTCTAACGCAGCGATTCATTGGTAACTTGCTTGTCACAAGATCTCAAACTCCTAGATTCCATCCCTTGCGAGATATTGCTTGCGCACTATTGAGGAGTTCCATGCTATGATCAAACAGTTTTCGAGTTCTACTAGGTTTTCAGTGATTGTCTAACTGATGTCAGTTTCTAGTGACTGTCATTTTGAAAAAGAACTAGTGTTTTCGCCAACCACCATCCACTAATACATAATAATAGTCCTAATAACTCAGTTTCGCATCCTTCTTCAGATACCTTCAGGGTGCATTAGTAAAGCTATAAAAATAGAGTTATCAAAAGAATGACCCAGATAACTACCTAATAAAAAGTTGATTCACTTGATTGAGTTTCTTCAAAAGAATCTCTTTATTACGAAGAATTCAATTTAATCCAGGACAGTAGTCTTCCTAATGTTTTAGAAATGTTTCATACATGGAAGCGAAAAGAATACAGAACGTTGATGCAGAACTTCTTATCAGCTGATTCTAATCATCCACCATAAATACCTGAAGATATCTGGTCTTTAGAGTGAGTTGGTTTATTATTTTTTAAAAAACTATTTCTTTTCTTTCGTTTCGTTTCTTCTTTTCATTAACTTTGTATATCTAGTTAATTGTGCATTAGTTTAACTTTTTCGACAATAAATAATATTAATCTTGTACCCAGTTAATTTCATAGTGACACAGATATAGACATTTCATTTAGTGGAAGAATTCACGCAAATTAAGAAAGAAAAATACATTTGATATGATTTATTTCACTTCCATCCATTTCATTTTAATATTTCATTAAATACCAAAGAATACGAATAAATAAATTCAGAAATTTCTTTTCGATTTAAATGTAGGTTAGTGAAAAGAAGTTGATAGGACCGTAATTCAAATTATTTTTTGATATAAAAAGTTTTTGATCACAAGCAAAAACAAGAAATTTGTTATTTACCTCATTCTGTTTCAGGTTATGACATAATTCTTTGTGATAATGAATACTGGTTGATTGATTTTGAAACGCGCATTAAGAAGACGAATTTTTTGCTTAGGAAGCTATACGGTTATCCAGTCCACTATGATGGCCGGAATCCAGTTATAAAGTTAAGCAATTTACTTATTAGCAATATGATACAACCTTGGCTAAGATATATATGCGAGATTTGAAACTTGAACAATAACTTTCAGATTCCACCCTTGATGGTCGCTCAGTTCTACGGTAAATAGACAAGGCAATAAGATGACAATCTGGTATATATATATATATATATATATATATATATATATATATTCTTTAGTGCTTTTCTGATGAATCTATATTGTGATATAGTTTAAAATAACTGAATTGGATCTATAATGAGGGGAGTGACCTATTGACGAATTGAAGAAGAGACTTTAATGAACCTTCTGCATCAGAAAAAGCGACTGATAAATTGTTGCAGTAATCTCCCTTAGCTTTAGATGTCGAATTCCAATATTCTACGGTACTGAGGGTTTAAAAATGCACAAAAGGCATACCAACCAATCGTGCACATTTAATTGTTACCATGGCATCCGTAACGTTTAAACGATCGAGCAAATTTGACAACCGACTTCATTTTACCTTTGGTAATAGCCTGAACAACTTATATTCTCATCAACAACAATCATATACCGCCTTCTATTCATGGATCCTTTACGATTAACCTGAATGCTTTCCTAGAGTTCTTTAGTCATCTGAATGTTTTCTAGACTACTGTTCTTCAAAGTGTATGTGGTTTTTTGACATATCCTCTGAAGTATTCTTTTGGATATTCTCTCATCACAAATAATGGGGGAGTTTCTAAAGCAGTAAGATGCTTCACTGCCTATAGCAGGTGTATATTTCATCAAAGATTAGAACTTTTGAGATGCTAGAAAAGATTTGTAGCTCAGGATTTGCATGATAACTGCTCGTGTTCTCCAGCTTTGAGGTTCGTTCCTTAAAGTTTCATCACAAGGTTAAGAGACTTCATTATCACTTATTTATAAGAAGTTCCGTAACTGAGAACTAAAGAGAGGAATTCGACTGTAAATATGATGCAATTTCCCTGTGAAAAGCTTACGTGTATAGGAAATGGCACTGATAAGGGAGGCTCATGCATATATAAGACATCAAATATTTCAGTACATTATATGTTGCGTCTACATAGTGTAATATCAGGATGTTGTATGATATTCAGCAAACACATTGGTACTTTTATTTAGCGAACGGAAACATGAATGTATTTCATACATTCAGCCCATAAAATGTATGTGTTGAATCTTATAAGCAGATGTTACGAATTCACCTGTAATTACAAAACTAAAGCACAGCAACTATTATTTTACTCCTAGTGTTTACTATTCAGTAAAATACCGTCAGTTTTACTTGGTAAACTGGTTACAGCACTGGTTGATCGAATAAACGGCGTTCGATTCATAGATAAGCATACCACTGATGAAAAGTTCGAAGAAGAATCCCGTAGATCCAATTCAGCAAAATAACCTAATTCATCCAAATACTATCTGATAACGGTAAGGTCAAGTACACAGATCCCAGTAGCCGATCAGGGTCAGTCAGAATAACGGAGTACAAAGATTTGGCGAAACATGGTATGATCGGCCTATTAAGATGGGTAATTCCAAAAAAATTGTGGCTTTCCCTTTCCACGCATTAACCCATAATAAGATTATAAGGTGGGACAAGACAACAGTTCTATAATCCATTACAGCTAGGTAAAGGGAGAGATTTATTAGAGAATCTTTATTCACTGAACCGACACCTAACACACGTAACAGGAATGAATCATCATATATTGCAGACATCTGGAGACATTTACTACCATTCAGATAACAGAATGAAGAACTGTTGTATGATTATTGTGATATGAATAAAAACAATAAATTCTGCTCGAAAAGTTATCTAGTAAACCATACTGTATCACTGTGTGTTTTATCAAATAAACAGTCTAATATGAAATTATACTCTACGAACTCTCCAAGTCTATTACACTGAAATTTTGAATGGTTTAACAAGGACTAATTTGAACAACCAGTATTGTTAAATAAGTAAGAGGGAGGCAAACTGCCAGTGTACAGGTTTTTCACTGAATATTCAAAATAAATGGATCATTAAAAATCCTCTTTCAAGCAAACAGAGTAGATGAAATGATGAAGTTAAATTCCCTCAAGATTAGTATGAAGAATCTCTCCAGCTCAAACATTGACTGTGACAGACGGTGTTAATCATTTGACTTGTCAATAATGAAATTCTATGTTCTCTCATCTACTTAGAAATTTCTCTACTCTTTTGAATGGACATAAAAAAGATGGACGAATTTAGCATGCTTAATTCAAGTGAACAAAAGGAAATGTTTCGCATAGTATTTTAAGTATTTCTACAGATATTTGACCCTGCTGATGGGGAAAGTGCATATTTACAAACTGTGGTAAATATTTGTAACTCAGTGTGTGAATGTTCAAAGGGAGTTGTTCACTGAACTAGTATTTTAGTGGGCAAAGATTTAAATGTCATGCTACACATCATTATGAATGCATCAGAGCCTTTCAAGAAAGTGAGGCTCTAATTCACCGATGATGAGTTGTAGCATGACACTGAAACATTTTCCACCCATAATCTCAGCTCCGAGAAAAACACACTGAAAGTACGTATCTTCGAAAAATATCGGAAAGTTTTCAAAAGTAGAACGCAGACCAGACAGAAACCCATCCCATTGCAGAATTACACAACTGTTCCGCTTGGGAAAGACGAAGTTGGAATATTATATACACTAACCCGTAATGCTAACCCTATTGGTTGAGAAGTATCAGAGTATTACGCATCATATGTTTCTTCAGAAATCCAGCTGGCAAGCCTTCTTAAAATGCGAATTTCTGATGGAAATAAGTAAACAAGGGAAAATTTAAGAATTTAATATCTGCTCCCAAGTAAGTATTAGTCAAATTATCTTGCAGCTACCATGATTCATAATAAACATATTTGTTACTCCAGATGGTGATGAAAACTGTTTTTTTACTATCATGGTTTGAGTATTTGACCGTGAACGTTTCACCACCAGGTTTGTTTCCACCATTAGCATGAACGAGATCCAGAATTGACGGTTATTAAAGGGACATATGAGTATCAAGCTAATAGTTTCCCTGACCTTCAGTTTCATTGAACTGTATATAGAGGCAGAGATTTGTCACATGACGATCACTATCACTTAAATTTCACTTGCTTATGCGGGAAAATAATTGTTGTTTCACCGTACTAGTGAGTTTTGTTGTTGTCACCTTGTTTAGTTATCGATTATGTTAGTCAATTTACAATTGGTCGACAGATGGCTTCTTTTCCTATATCTGTACTGTAGATTAGACGTATTTCCACATGTCTCTTCATTAATGTCTAGTGCGAATGGCAAGCTTCTAAAAGTTCCAGTAAAGCTTTTGAGTTCACACTTTGTGAGATCTCTACATTCTCACAATCAAACAAATGATTGAGATTGTCCATATGCATTGAGAAAAGGGATGATAAGTCGCCTCTTTTCATCTCCAGTTGATGTTCGTGACTTATGTGAGTGATTCAGCCACTAGAAGAGTCGACGAATTGCGGCTTGAAATTTTCGTAGTTGATTTTGTAACGTACGTTGATGATACCATCAAGCTTAATGATGAAACGTCTACGATAGAACACAAAAAAATTAGACTTTATTATACCACTTCCACAAAAGTTCGTTTCCAGAATGAGAATGGTGTGCCTGACGTCACTCGATACAAAGAACAAGCGGTATTCCTCACAGGATAAACGACTAGAAGCTGTCTAAGAAAGCGAATTTTACCTGTATCCTCTGATAGTATCTCAAAGGCTGGGAGTAAATTTCGTATTTTCAACTCAGTTGAAAAATGAAGGAATTCAGAAGAAACCTATCAATATGTCCAGGATATCAGTGCTTCGGTAGAGTCCAGAGATTGTGTAAAATATTTGAGGAAATGACTCGTGGTGAACAGGTCAGGTTTCTCTCCGATTTTAAGTACAATAAGCAAAAGTTTACCCTCTTCTAGACATATTTTGTTTATCGTCACACATGTTCCAGATGAACAATATTTGTTCTTTGATATTAGGACTACTGTATCATCTGTTACAGAGAGCTTCTTGCGAAAACTGTATGACCTTGAAAGGCACTTGCGAAGACACCTCAGTTACTGTGAAGGCTCACAAGCACCATTCTTCATTGTCTCAAATAAGTGGTTAGCTCATGTGAAGTTGCATGATTCATCCTGTAATCATCGGATTCAGAACTGACTACAATTTTGAAACCGCTCTGCAAGGAGTAAACAACTGTGGTATAAATGTTTATACCTATAAAGTTATTATGTGATAATATACAAGTGGCAGAAATCACACCGAATGAATTGGAAGCCTGTATTTGTGTTCACGTTGTTTGCTGACTTCGGCGCACTTAATGATTTTTTTTGATTGGAGACAATGTGTACAAACACAAAATGACATGCATTTCACCAGATAGACACACTAAAAATCAGATCGACTTCATGTCAATCGGAAGAAAGTGGAGATGGAGAAGTAGCTTACTGGATACAAGATCAAAAAGGTGAGCAGATGTAGGTTAACACCACTGTCTAGTGCATATAAGTTGGTGATAGACTACAGTTCAAGTTTAACACCCTGAACAGAAACTAAAAGACTAAACTACAGTAGACATCTTCATGTCAGTCAGGCATCAGGAAAAAGCGGGAGACGTTCAGCAACATCCATGAAGGAGCCTGGGTGGAAGAACACTGGAACTCTTTGAAAGCTATGTGGAAAAAACCTGCATAACCGTGTTAGGAAGGAAGAAAAAGCAAGACAGGACAAGGAATGGATCTCAATGGACGCATGGAAACTGATAGAGGAGGGAGAGGAAGGTAGTGATGGTGATGATGAAGCAGAAGATAAACCAGTTCAGTGGAGCGCTGGGATGAACAAAGAAAAGACGAACTGAATACAACCGATAAAACACTACACTGGACAAAGAAGTGAAGAAGAGTGCGAGGAAACATAACAGACACTTCTACGACACATTGGCAAGTGAAACAGAACAAACTGCAGGTAGGAGACACAGAGACCTGACAACACTTTGTCAAATAACCAGGTTACTATCTGGAAGGGAAGAGATCAACACAGATGAAACCAATGAAAGATGATAGTGAGGGA